TTAGGATGTCAGAGGCTGCCCTGCAAAAAGGGATTAGCACAGGCTGGGAAATGGTGAAGAGATCCTGTAAAGGGCCCATGTGAATGTCATCAGACATAGCGAGAAGATCAAGGACAATCCCAGTCAATAGGATACATAGAGAAGATGGTAAGTAAGTACTTCTATCACTTATTGAGTCCACTCAATGGGAGAGGAATCATCAAATGCATAGTTATGACACCATATGTTCTTTCAAAAGGTACTTGTTGAGTGATGAAATAAAATACTATGGAGATGATCTTATGTATAAGTCACCTAAAAAACAAAACAAAACAAACAAAAACTTTTTATTCATCTGGAACTCATCAAGAGGGTCAGTAATAATTTCCATTTCAATATGCAAATGTTTGGGTAAAAAAGGATGTCTAACAGTTTTATAAATTATAGATACTGCAATAGCACATAAAAAGCTTTGGTTCTAATGGGGAGTGAGCTCAGATTTCCCCAAGGGGAAAGTGCTTCATAGGAATATCATTTGGGCTTTGAGAATATATGAATAGAACTATTACTTTTCTTTTCTTGAGCCAGGGAAACATAGGCAGCAGTCCAAAATATAGCATAGATATTCCTTCCATCATGTCTTGGATCTTGCCTGTTTTCAATAGGCTTTCCTATTTCTTATATTCATTTTAGCTGTCTATCAAGGGCTAATTCATCCTACTTTCTTCTATGATGATTGCATGATTATTCTAAAATACAAAACCTTCTTTATCTCTTGGTCTTCTAGAACTGGATTTTCAATTACGGTATCACGATCCTCGTGTGTCTCAAGCGATATGAAGGAAGTCATGGATATCCCATCACTACGTTCAATAGAGAGGTTTGCAAATGTCTTACTTGTTTGAGAAAGGAAATAACATACAGGGCTTGGGGCACCTGGGTGGCTCAGTTGGTTGGGCTTCCGACTTTTGGTTTTGGCTCAGGTCATGATTTCCTGTGCATGAGATCAAGTCCCATGTTAGGCTCCAAGCTGAGCATGGAGTCTGCTTGAAGATTCTCTCCCTCTGCCCCTCCCCCAACTCATACTTGTGGTGTCTCTCTCCAGTAAACAAATAAGTATTTTTTTAATATATATATATTTATTTATCCTAGAGACAGGGTGTCCACACAAGCAGGGGGAGGGGCAGAAGGAGAGGAAGGGAATTTCAATCAGTCTCCGACTCCCTGCTGAGTGCAGAGCCTGATGCGGGGCTCAATCTCACCACACTGAGATCAGACCTGAGCAGAAATTCAGAGTTGGGCGCTTAATCCACTGAGCCATCCAGGTACCCCTAACAGATAAGTATTAAAAAAACAAAGATACAGGGCTTAACTCTGGCATTGTAGCCAGATTCCACCCATTCAAGTCCAGCTTCACTAGCTATGTGACCTTGAGGAAGTTATGTAACCTTTCTGCACTTCAGTGTGTTCATCTATAAAATGGAGATAGTAATATCCATCTCACTTTATCATTACATTGTAGATTAAGTATGCATTAAGTTCCATAATCAAAACCTCTTCCTTTTAATATTAACTTGGATTCATGGTATATCTTGAGTAGGATATACCCTAAATACTTAGAATTTTGGCTTTTACTACACAACATTCTAAACTTGCACACTGTATAAAACCAAGAACCATGGTAACTATCTCTGGTCGTCTGAAGGCTCTGATTATTGGTTGGGTTGACAGGACTTAGGTGGACTGCAAATATTGGTATACCTTCAGTTATTCCTCTGGAGAATAGGATACAAAATAGAGAAGCAAATTCCTAACCAAAGCAACATAAAGACTTGAAATAATGGTGTTCAGTGACAGTTTATGGGGTAAGTGAAAGTCTCACATTTCCTCCTCATATGAGGAGGCTGCCAAATTGGGTAGGAATTGTCCACATACTCACCACCTCTTTCTTGAACAGGTGGTTTTGAGTAATGTGTGTTTGAAAAGTAACATAACGTGTACACCCAAGTTCTTTGTCATCAGGTAATGAGGAAAGAGAAATGAAATGGAATGATGATATATCTACTTTTAACAGCAACCTTCTTTGCCTAGAGACTTTGGGGATTCCCATTTTTCTATTTCTTAGAGTCCATCATACTATCCCCCTCACCCAAATTCATCTCTTATCCACAAAGACTGGACAGAAAGAAGTTAATCCTATCTGGCCTCAGCACTGTTGGTTCATATTCACTTGAAAGCACCCATAATGAAAAAATAAAACACACCCTGAAGAGCTTGAAGAGACAAAAGACTAAGAATACTCAAGAAATTATCAGTCTTAAATAGTATGATAAATGTCTTATAATTCTGAAGTCTTTATTTAGTGTTGTGACTATGGATGACTGCTTCAAGGAAGTATGCCCCAACACACCAAGGACATTGCCATTTCTACAAAAGTGGAGCTGCAAACTTGCTTGTTTTGTTTTACCCAAGGATATTCTTTTTTTTTTTTTTTTAAGATTTTATTTATTCATTTTGAGACACAGAGATACAGAGAGAGAGAGAGCATGAGCAGGGAGAGAGGCAGAGGGAGAGGAAGAAGCAGGCTCCCTCCCAAGCCAGGAGCCCGATGTGGGGCTCGATTCCAGGACCCTGGGGTCATGACCTGAGCCGAAGGCAGAAGCTTAACCATCTGAGCCACTCAGGCGCCCCTACCCAAGGGTATTCTATGGCAGCTCTCATCTCTTATGTCCCATGTCAGGGGCATGTGCCTTTTGTAGTCAGAAAAGAATGCCTTGTTTCATTCAATTTACAAACCTGATTCAAAACAATGGTCCTCACCAAACTGGGGAAAAGGGAGAAATGAGTTAGAGGGTGACAAATTCCTGAATTACATAGGTATACCAGGTGTGTTTGCCAAACCTCAGAGCCACCCAAGTACCTCTGATTTCTCCTGGTCGGGTGCCCAGAAGGGAAGAAAGAGTTTAACAATATTGCGACCTACAGTAATAGGCACTGAGCAATTTCACAGCAAGGGAAATCAGAAGGTGTTATAAAACAGAATGGTATTTTTTAAGACTTTGTATGTTGAGTCTCCTGCTCATCAGCTTTGATAGCATTCCTTTAAAAATCAGCACCTCACCTCCATTGATTTTCAACTTCACACTTCTTTTAAGAAGCTGGAAATATTCTATTTTTAGCCTTGATGGATGGAGACAATGAAAGGAGAGAAGTATCCATAGAGACGAACTCCTCAAGTTAGTGTTAAATTACTTTAGGAGAAAGTGAACAGAATCAGCTTGAAAAATCATAGACATGTTGTCACGTGATTTGGCCAAAAATTGGGTAGCTTTGACTTAAATCTCCTTCGAGGTCCTCACTATTACATCGATGGCTATTCTCGTTGCTACTGTGCTTCTTACAAGAGCACTGACATGACAATCTGGACAGTACTATATGCATCATGCAATGTGTCTGTGTATGTATACATTGTTCTGGGCTGTTTAAGGATGATATTTCTGGAACTAGGTTCAACACTTATAGATTGTAAGTAATATACTTCATTATAAAGCTAAGTGGTGCTTTTCATTTCCATAGGCATCCAACAGCAGTAACTTCATCCCATGATGACCTTTGGGCTATGTTGTCTTTGATTGGATTAGACACCTCTGTGGGCATCATTGGTCAATTGGTCTTGTAAAGCACAAAAAGGCCACAGAATGGCTGAGAGGTCTTCAGGGACGAGAGTGATGACAAGGCCTACCCTGGATCAGAGTCTGATCTCAGCTCTGCTGACATCTACCATTCATTTTCTGAATCTCTAAGTTCCATCCCAGCCACAGCAGAAACTTAAGAAGCCCTGGTGAGTTTTGCCACGAATGGATCTCACTGTAGTCTTCGGCAGCTCCTTGGTTTTATTCTTACTTTTTTTCTAGCAGGTCCTTCTCCTATCCCTAAGTCAATTTCACAGCTCACATTTCCGATGAAATCTCCTACAACTATAGCCAGCACCTTCGATTATGTCTTTCTAAATTATACTTACAGTTCACTTCACACAGTTTGACACAGAGTTCTCTAAATGGCAAACCTCTATTTTGTCATGTGTTTTTGTTTGGTGACCCCAACGAGACTATAAAATTACAGTAATCAGGGCTTGTGCTATTCATTTATTTTTTACTCATCACCCCTTACTCTTTGTGTATTCCAGCCTGCCTCACTCCCTGCTTTTTCTCTTCTCACTTCTCCTCATTGTTGGCACTCTCCAGCCATGTGAAACCACTTAGAAATTCAGTTTGCTTTTGCTTTTCCTTTTCTGCAGCATTCCTACCAGAGATCTGCTCAGGCTTTCTATGTGAAGCCTCCCTAATACTGACATGCAGTCATCAGCACTTAGCACCATATGCTGGTTCTGTTCTCTTCGATCCCATGGTAAGACTGCACTTCCTTTCCTCTTGAATCCAGGTGTGCCCTTGTGATGCTACTTGGCCAACAGAATGTGAGTAGAAGTGATGTTTGACACTTCCAGGCAGAAACTTTCAACAGTGAGCACATGCTTCCTTGTGCTTCTCTCTGCCATGGCAACCTTCTAGGTGATGGAGCACTTGTGAGCATCCTAGAATGAGGACAAAGTGGAAGAGGAGCCTCTGCCAATGGGAGATGAGCATGTAACACAGGCAGGACACAACCACTGGTTACTTAGGCCACGGAGATGTTATATTATTTATTATAGCAGCACAACTGAGCCCATCTAGACAATGTACTTGACTTAGTAGCTCTCTTTTGTGGGCCAACGCACATTGTCTCACCCCTGCCTCCAACACTTATTCCATTTCCTGTCTGTGTTCCCGGCAAGCCATAAACTCCATGAGGATACGGCTTCTATCCATCTATCTATCCCACATGGCCACCATGGGATGGGCATATATAACAATCTCTAAAGAATGAGTGAACAAAAAGTGCCCACCCCATGTTGAAGCATCCTGAGGTTAACACTGGTATTCCTGGATGTTTGCCCATTCTGTGGGTAAATCATGACTACTCACAGTTATGGCAGGTGGCACCAGTGTAGCCCGTGTTACTGCAGTTACAGTAGAAGGTAGTCCAGGACTGGGAGCAGCTTCCTCTATGTTCACAGTAGTTTGGCAAACACCTAGGGGAAGATAAAGCAAAAGCAAACAAAATAAACCAACTCAGTTGAAATGAAGGGACAGAATCCAAAATGTCTAATATCTAACTGCATGAATGGATAGTAGAAATCGGTCTGCTATATGTCTATACCTAAGTGAGACTTGAGCAATAGCAAAATAATTCTATGGCTTTACCACAAGGGGTGGGTCCATCTAGCACTACTGTGCAATGAAAGGCTCAGAGCTGATGTAGGTGATTACGTTAAGCATTTCAACACTGGGGCAAATTGCCATTGACTTAAAGTTAATTTGAAGTGGTCAGAATCTATAAGATTTTTCATTTACTATAGAACAAAATGTACAAAGACTTTAATTTTTATATCTTGGAAAGATTCTACATTTTTAAAGGGAAGTGAAAAGGGGTAGATAATTGAGGTCACTGTCCTCATGATTCTCTTTTGGATGATGGCCAGGAATCTATTTTAAACTGCACATGAAATTTGAAAAGATGGTACCTGCTCATTTAATATGCAAGGAAATTCTGTTATTTCAAAAAAATTCCAACCCACCCTTAAAATGAGGCCTTTACTACTTATGACAAAAACGGTATGACTATTCTGAAAAATATTTTCACCACACACTTTAAAAATGCTCTGAAGCATTCATAGAATTTGACCTCGCAATCACACTTAAATGGTTTTATCTTAAGCATATATTTCAAAATATAAAAACTATGTATGCTAATTATCATCATTTCTTAGGGACGTTGTAGTACATAAAATTAATGGGCTATTATAAAGGTACCGCAAATGGTTAGCAAAAATGATTATAACAGACTGAGAGTGGATTAAGTGAAAATTCAAAATATGAATCGTGGCCACAACAAAGCAAACCAAACACATTACAAAACTGAAAGGAAGGACAGATGTCAAGCATCACTTGATGTAATGGGAGTGAAGGCAATGTTCCTTTCTTCTGGACAGAGATCATGGGCTTTAGGGTCACTTATATCTGAGTTCAAATCCCAGCTCAGCCATATGCTGCACGGTGTCTTTAGGCAATTTTCCTTACTTCTTACATAAATGATTTAAAGTCTTTACATGGCAGGCACTGTTGTGACCAAAAAATAACCTGGCAAGTGCTCAATACTTGTAATGAATAAAATTAAGAGTAAAAGCAGTGATAAATACTGCAATTCTTGAAACAATCTTTACAAGGGAAAAAAATCCCCTGAATTTAAAAGGGGAGAAGGTGTGAGCAATGAAGCTATGGAAGTGGTCTAATTCAATAAAAGGGTTCATTGTGTAGCCTCTGAGAATGTGAGGCAAGCAAAAGTAAGATGATTTATCCTAAATATCCTATATAGGTAGGAAACCCTCCAGCAATGATTGTTTCAAAGCCCAGAAACTAATACTCCTGCATATGTTCAGACATATTATTAGAAATTTTCCGCTTAGCACAGCAAACATGCAATTGTGCTGACAGAGCTTATGTTTGGGAAAAGCATATTGGTAACTCCATGGTATCCAACTATGGCTTAAAGAACAGAAGCGGGGCGGGGAGGACCAGTAAATTTTCTTTGGAACATGTTCACAGAAACCAACCAATCAATACATAAACAAAAACAAGGGGTGCTTTCTGTGTAATTCAGATTTTATCCTTCCTCTTGATTCCCATGCCCAGCTCTTGGTCTTGGTAGAAAGGGAAAGAAACAGATTCGTCACTGAGATGTACCAAAGTCCATGTCCCCCACTATCATTGTGCTGTGGGGAGTTACAGGAACTAGAAGCATCAGGGTCCTCATCTACATATTCCAAGCAAGGACCTCTGCCTCAGGGTGTGCCCTGACAGAGAACCTATGGGGCTAGCCCCTGAAAACCCACTCACCCTACACCTTTCTTCACTTACATCCCAGCACCTCCCTGCTTCTGAATTATGCTGCTCCTGCAGTGCATTTTCTTGATTGATTTTCCCTCTGGAACTGTCAAGTTCTTATACTCCTGTCTTTATCCCAATCCAACTCCATTCCACTCCCTTTCCCCCAACACCAAACACACACACACACACACGCGCGCGCGCACATACACACAAACTCACACACACTCCACGATTGGCAAATTATACTATTATTTGCTCCCCTTCCTTCCCCAACATAAACTTAATTGCTTTAAAGATGGAAAACTGAGGAGCACCTGGGTGGTGCAGTCAGTTGAGAACCCAGCTCTTGGTTTCTATGTTCAGGTCCTGATTTCAGGGTCCTGAGATCAAGGCTAGTGTAGGGCTCCGCACTCGGCGGGGGGGGGGGGCTCTGCTGAAAACTTTCTCTCTCCCCTGCCCCTCCTCCCCGCACTCTTTCTCTCTCAAATAAATAAATCTTAAAAAAATATATAGATGGAAAGTTGAACAAAGCCAGGTCGGTAGGCATTTAACCTATAGTTCTCTTGGTTTCAGTACCAAGAAGGTTCAGGTTGGACTCTTTTTAATGGCTGAAGCTATAAAATAGAAAACTCAGAAGTTCTCAGGGGCCACATTTTCAGCCACAAGAAGAAAGTTTGCATGCAATGAAAGAGAAAGAAAGAGAGAGAGAATGTGGGGTGCAGAATGCAGCAGAAAAGACAGATGGGCGTCCTTACAGGACTTGTGTGGCTGGTTCCTGTTGTTCTAAGATTTGGTTGCACCCCTGAATTTCCTGAGGGCTGGATGTTTTAATCTCTATCACATGCTGTGAGATAACCTGAGATCTTTCCAGAAAAAAACCATTCCATTCGGGCTGGCTCAAGCCGGGATTCTGTGATTTTCAACTAACAGAATCTTAACCTTCTGTAAAACAGCATTCTATAAATACAAAAATAAATGAAAACACACGTTTTCTCCTCTATTGTACACTTTAAAATATTTTAAAACTCAAGATTTCCAAATTCAGTTGGGCATGTTGTAGGAGGGGCCTTGGGGAAAACAGTAAGAAATATCTGGGCACTTTGAACACATCCTTAATAAGCCTCACATAGACTTTGTATTGCAGTGTTAATAAACTCAATTTACCAAGGAGAGTATAGGATAGAAATTCATTGCTTATGGTTACTTAAAAAAAATGATATATTTCTGAAAGAGAAAAAGAATGCTTCAGTAAAGGAAAGTCTAATATTCCTAAAATGAGAAGAAAAAAATGAATGGGTGCTTCCAGCTTGGTTCATTTTGGTTCAATACATACTATGATTAGAAAAACTCATCTGTAAAGCTGACACTCAAAATAAAAGATGCATAACCCCAATGTGCTTATTTAATAAGGGCAGTTTTAGGAGTATAATTTCCATATTCTTTAATCAGTTTCTGTAAACTGGTGCTTTGTTTCTTTTTCTCCCTACTTGGCATAAACTGAGCACTGCAGGCATGACTCAGGAAGAGAAGAGTGGAGGGGCTACCAAAGTAAGAAAAGTTCATTAAGAGTGAGATCCCTGTCACAATCTTAGGGGGAAGGCCCTCAATTCAAATTGTTAGGAGATAAGTACCCTGAACTCCTATCTCCTAAAATTCTAATGCTATTTCATATGCAGCTGGATCTGGATGGATGTGCTTTCTCTAGATGCACACTGCTTAAGAAAGAAAGCCTTCAGCATGATCGGGACACTTTCCTTCACCTTGATTATTGTCACCTTTGACCAGATATTGCAAAATGCAATGACCTTTAACCAGCCTTGTGACTATCCTAATGATGTTTAACCAAAAATTGTTCTTATGGCTAATCTACAAAATACACCCACCAAGAGTCAACCTAGGTTTGCCTTCTTGAAGGCTTTCCTCTTACCAAAATATTGAAATTAAACTTTGACATGTACTCACAATTGTATCTGAGATGTTGCTTTAATGTTTTATTTCCCCTGTTTAATAAGTGAAGAAAGTAAGACAAGAAGAGGGTAAATAACTTGCCCAAATATGAAGTGACAGAGCCAGGAACATGAGCTATGCTACCTGTCACTGAAGCCTGCATTCCCAAGCACCATGCATACTCTACCAAATGCCAGATGATTCACCTCCTTAAAAGTGAACTCTCAGCATGCATTAAGGCACAACTTCTGCAAAGAGTGGGATGGACGGGGGCTTCACATAGTTACCTACTTATTCCAGAAACTCATTAGCAAACTTGGAGCTGTGAGGTTGGAGCTTTTAAAGATATTTTTGGTGGCTAAAGAGGTATTAATGATAGTGACAAATGGGTTAATTGGCAATAAATACACCTGAACTAGAGAATAAATGATATATTTATTATATAATTAGCATAATGACATATAATTCATCCTGCAAATTCTATAAATTCAGTGATGAAGAGTGGGGAAAGAGATTTTGATTCTATTTTCAATCCCTTTTCATGACCAAATTGTTGAATTCTTAAAACAAGAAAAGCTACTGCTAAGATAGCCCTTGTCCCTGCTCTACTCTTGCTTTGATTTCTTTTCTTTTGTCTTTTTATCTTTTTTTTTTTTTTTCAGATGACAGAGACTTCCTTTACATTTCTTAAGCTTCCATGAGTTAATGTGATTGTTTCCAGTCTGCCTGCTTTCGGTAGAAAGAATACATAAGTTATCCCAAGTTAGACAAAGCTATTTAACCGATCCAAAAATAGATGGCATAATGTTTAAAATAAACTTCATAATTGTATAATTCTACAAATAGAGAAAAATGAAGAAGCAAATCAAGGTCTATTAAGCAAAATGGAAAATAAATTCAGGATTCAAAGCTGACCTTTGAATGCAGGGCTACGGGCTTCATGTCCAGCCCACCAGGATGTCCTGGAGCCCTTGACCATGCACCCATATGTACACAGCACTCATCAACAAGGATCAAGCTCATATCTCCATCACTTAGCATAGTCAGTGTCCTCTTTAGACATAAAATTTTTAATCCTCCAAATTTCTGAATTCAGTATTAAAAGTTTATGATAATCAAAACCTTAGAATTAATGTTTGGGGGTTAAGAAGGAATAAGGTACTGAAAGAGAAAAATGGTCCCAAAGCTGATCTCAGCC